TATACGAATGCACAGAAGGGGGGACAAGTGTTGGTGGAGCATGGGTTGAGAATCGTTGCCGTATCTAAGAAACTGATGCAAATCTCCAACACGAGGATGAAGATCAGTGTGAGGATCATGTGGCTGATCAGAAGTTACGGAGGATTTAGGGTTAAAGGGGAAAAGGAAAGAGACAGTGAAGTGAAGTACAATGTCAAAATTGGGCGTGGTGTTTTCTCCATATAAGCATTTAAAAATTAGAAAAGATAATTGGTGGAACTTAATGTGCCATGTATGCAATTTTGTCAGGGAAGGACCATTTGGGTTACGGAAAAATAAAGTTTAAGGATGATTTGAGTGATTTCTGAAGTTAAAGGACGAACTAAGTTCAAAAATGAAAGTTTAGAGACTAAATTGGGTATTAAACCTTATACTTTCAAGACTGTTTTAATTCATAGTGTTTTAATAAAATGATGTCGTCTTCATTGTTTTTTTTTTATCGAATTTATTTTATAATTTTAGTTAATTAACACTAATTTTATTCTTTTAAATACTAATTAACGGATTTACTTCTAGATATGTATTTTATAATGTAAGTACAACTTAATTCAATTGATTCTTATATTTTGTATATATGATTATATTTTTATATTTTTTAATTTTAAATTTAAAAGTAATAATTTTTTAATAAATATATTATACAATATATTGAATTATAATAAATATCAATCAATATCTCAATGCAACCGATATTTTAAAATAGTAATAGTAATTATATAATGTCACAAAAAATTATAAATTTATAATTAAAATGTTCTTTTATCAATTAAAGAAAACATTTTATTAGTACTTCAAACGCTTTAACAAAATTTTAATGTTTAATTGCAGCAAGGACTCAAACAACAGGATCTTCAAAATACAGTAAAATAAAATACATGGTAGATAGACTTTGAGGTGCACAAAGCATTAGAATAAAACGCCAACATTTGACCTAATGTTTTAAAATTTTTCCAAAGTTGTTCACGTGGTCACGTGGGGGTGGTAAACCGTTTACTACTGATTTATCAATGAAGCCTCCTACTAACAATTAAGGTGAAGAAGGTTGACAAACCTTAAAAATATTTATTTGAGAACCAATTTTCTCTCAAAAATTTAAATTTTTTTAAAAAAAATTTTAAAATTTTATTTTAAAAAATACTTAAGGAAGGGATTGATGTTGATTAAAAGAAAGGGTAAAATAGTAATTATAAAGAACAATTTAAGGAAGTGTTCAATTTAAAAGTTAGAAAACAGTTATCAACTGTTAACTTTAATTAAATAGTTCATATACTCTAAATAAGGACAAAGCCAAACCTTTGGGTTAGAGGGGGTGAAATTTTAAATTTTTTTAGAATTATGATAAGTTTATATTAATATGAGTTATATGGTCTATTAATAAAATTATGTATATTCTTAATCATAAGTTTAGAGTTTAATTCATAGTTTTTATGTAAAAAAATTATACTATTTTTTATTATTAATTATTAATTTTATGTGTAAATGTACTACTTATAACATACATGTCAATTTTTAATTAATTAAATATATTTAATT